CAGTAACATGCACCACAAACCGTGAGTAGTAGGTTTTTGTGATCTTTTCTTCGACCTACAGATTTGGTAAGCACTTGGTCTGCTCTGTGTAACAGGGAAGTCCAATTCTCTTTCACACATTGCCCTGCCTCCCACTACAGATCTGCTAAGTTAATGCCACATCACTTTCTTTATTTTGGCATTTTGTTAATACAGCACCCAAATCCAATTGATTCTATATTATGTCTATAAGAAACAATTCCAGACTTGAGAGGCTTAGCATAAAGGTTTATTTCTCTCTCAGAGCATAATCCATTTAGGTGTTAGTAGCCAAGAAAATCTATCAGTGAGTAAGCTTTGTATCTTGGGAGAGAGAAAAGACAATGGGAATGGGAGAAGCACATAAAAGATTTCAAAAATTACTGGTAGTCTGTTAGGCAGGGTCATAGGTATACACACATTCATATACTTTCTATTGTACATCTCTAATATATGTACTCTTAGATCTGTACAAAATTTTCCATAATAAAAAATAAAAATTACTCCTGAGTTTTTTTATTTTTTAAAAAATATTTTATCTTTTTATTCATGAGCGACACAGAGAGAGAGACAGAGACAGAGGCAGAAAGAGAAGAAGACTCCATGCAGGGAGCCCGATGCAGGACTCCACCCTGGGACTCCAGGATCACGCCCTGGGCCGAAGGCAGGCACTAAACCGCTGAGCCACCCAGGGATCCCCTACTCCTGACTTTTAAATCATTAGTGTACATCTACATATTCACCAGGGAAGTGTGACCTACATGTTTTTTCTCCTTTGCCTTATCCCTTGCCTACATGTTTTTTCTCCTTTGCCTTATCCCCTGCCTACATGTTTTTTCTCCTTTGCCTTATCCCCTGCCTTCACATACACATACATGGCCTCTCCTTTAAGACTCTCTGACCTGTTTGTGAAGAAGAAATTCCTCAAGACTTCAAATTGGTGGTCATGGCGAGCAAAAGAAAAATTAGTGACTTTGTAACTATGTGATCTGCTCAGGTAGCAGAGCCTTAATCAATTACCCAGGTGGGAGCTGCTTCTCTAATGGCTCTGCTGTGGCACTGCCCTGGGAGGATGCTCTCCCAGATAATCAATAAGGCCAGCCTCTCTCTGAAATGTGTATTTCAGAACCCCCTCAACCAGAGTTACAGGTGTCACTTTGGTATAGTTCCACAGTCCCTGACAAAGACTTGTGGTTAAAATGAGGCATCTGCCTCATTTTAATTCAGTAAAACGAATTCCCTGTTTTTGAAACAAATTGGTATATTGGATGATGAGGATACGGTCACCTCTTAGTACAGTGGATTGCAGGACATCACTGGAAGTTGCTGTTTTCCGACCTTTATCACTGCCTCCTTGCAATAGTTCCTAACTCATTGGGGGAAAACATGAATTTATTGACCACCCTTTATATACTAGATATGAAGTCTGATAAAACAACCTCTGCCTTAACATTCTAGTGAAACAGAGTTCTCTTATTGAGCAGAGGTGTAAGATGAAATTAGGAATTCTTTGAGACCTTTCCTGTTGTCTTCCCAGATTTTCCACAAAAGGAGAAAGTGAGTCAGAGGGTAGTGTGGGAGAGACCCCCCAAGCCCAGGCAAAGGAGAATGCTCAGGGTAGGCGGTTGTCAGAACTGAACCTGGCAGTTAGGGGAATTGAGCCAGAGGCAAGGAAGCAGGCATGTGAGCAGGAGAGGTTTGAGCTTCTCTGACACAGGGATCAAAGGACAGGTAAAATTTTTAGACTGAGGTCAGAATCAAAGAAGATCAGGGCAAAGGTAAATTAGCAGCTGGGAAGGTTAGGAGGAAAAATCCAGGGGAGTTCCCAAATCAGTGACCTGTGCTCCCAGAGGTTTGCTGGCAAATACTGTTCTTTAGAAGTCGCTCGGGATGCATTAAGCCTTCAAATGATTCATCCCATTGGCCCTGCAGTGGACACTGTTGGGGGGAGTCCCAGGACACTGTCAGGGAATAGAAACAAATCTAGTCAACTTGATTAACAGCTGAATCTAGAAAGCCAAATAGGGGCAAGATAATATGGGCCCTAATGACACACTGAGGAATGAGAATTTGATAAACATAGGAGCCCTTGCACATTTTTAAATATGGAAAGGACAGGATTAAAACTGATCTTTCATCTTTCCTGTGCCACAACCAACATTATTTATCCTATTTCCAACTATAATACCAAGCTTGTTATTTTGGTGCAAACAATATTTTTTCCCTTCCTTCAAACTTTGTCTTTTTCTTTCCACTGTGAAATGAGTGGCATTATGAAATAGAGGACAATCATAGACAGCCAGAAAGACCTGAACCCAAGCCCACATATACCAGTCAGCCACTGAAGGAACTCATGCATTCATCTAAGTGCCTGCTATGAGCCAGGCCAAGGTGATAGCAGTGGGTAGTACAGATAAATTCTCTGTCTGTGAGAGGGGAGAAAGATAAGTTATATATATATATATTCTATGTAACAAAGAAAAGTGTTATAAAGAAAAATAGAGTAAGAGGTTAAATTCTGATAGAGAATGCTTAAGGAGGTGACTTCATAACAAAAATTTAGATGAAATGGAGCAATCTAAGGAGAAAACAGGTAAGAATATTCTAAGCAGAAGGAAGAACAAGGACAAAGTGTTGCTTTGCACTTACCTGGTATTCTCAGAAGAAGGCAGTGTGACTAGAGAGGTCTTGAAAGGTCATAAGAATGGTAAGAGATAAGGTTGGAGAGGTAGAGTCAGATGATAAAAAGTCTTGTTGGACATGGAAAAGAATTGGGATTTTTTTTTCCCCCGAGGGGATGATTTTGAGAAAGGGAGTTAATACTTCAGTTTATATTTTAAAAGATTATTCTGGCTATTATTTAATGGATTACCTGAAAGGAGGAGGGGGAAAACGGTACACATGGAAGCAAAAATCACCTTCCTCAGTTAACATTTTGAGAATATCCTTGGTTATAATTCTATGTTAGAACTTAATGTTTAGTCAGGTTGGGGTAGACTCCCGGATTTAACATTCCAAAGATAGCATAAACATGGTGTTCAAAAGTGCGTGTATTTATTCACTTCCAGGTTTCAACACACAAAAAACGTGAGTTCAGTGCATTATTAAATGTAAAAAATTATTAGTAAAAATGATTGCAATTAGTTAAGTCTGGTTTTCAACTTCTGTGGTTATAGTCCTACTTACGAGAATATTGTTCAGCATCTTTGAAAGGGAAAGGCAATTAAGTAATCTCTGGGGTCTCGTGGAGTTCTAAATTTCTGTGTTTTTAAGAACCAGCCAGGTAAGCAATAATACTGGACATGGCTTTATATACATGAGTTCCTGTAAAATAGCTGGATGGAAAAATTCCAAACATTTAAGCATAGGTTCTTTACAAGAGCTCATTTGAATAGACTGTGTACAAACCTATTCAGCATTGTGTGTATATATATATATATATATATATATATGTAGTGAAAAATACACAGTTGGAAGGGAAAATAATGTAAAGCATATATTATGAATGCTAATAACCTTAAATGAGCAGAAAACTTTTTTAAGAAACAATCTTGAGTTCAAGTTTTTATATATTCATGAAAGAGAGAGAGTGTGTGTGCAAGCAGTGGGGAGGGGCAGAGGGAGGGGAAGAGAATCTCAAGCAGACTCTATGCTGAGCGCAGATCTCAGCTCTGGCTGAGTATGGAATCCACGACCCTGAGATCATGACCTGAGCTGAAACCAAGAGTCGGACACTCAACCGACTGAGGTACCCAGGCACCCCTTGAGTGCAAGTTTTAAAATCTATTTCTCTGTGTAGAGCAGTGCCGGGATTACCATATAGGGTGGAAGTGCTCAAAGCTGCCTCTGTTCACACCCCACCCAGTGCTTGGGCACGACTTCACTTTTGTCCAATATTGGTGAGGAAACCGCCTCAGAAATATTCATCTAGATACTCAATTCCTGATTAACTGGAAAAGCAATAAAGAGCCAAAATTCATGACTATTAAAATGTGTTATGCTTCCAAAAATATTGCAGAATGATTCCATCAGAAGCTTATCTGCACCTTTTTTTCCCATCAAAATCAGAGAACCATACTATTTTTGCATGCTCTTCTGGTCAAAATCAGGCCTTCAGAACACACTGCTCAGGAAACCAAAGGCTTGCCAGAGACAGCAGGCCCTGGTGATTCAAGCAGAGCACGTTTGTATTATATGTTCAAGTGGGATGAAGAGTTTAGGGAAATCCAAAGTGACAACCAGATATTATCCTCTGCCTCATCCTCACACCCCCCACCTCCAGCTCACCCAACCCAATTTCTGGCAATGGAGAAATCAGAAAAGTAGTAAAGACCTACAAGAGAAAGGATCCCCTACAGGCCCTGGCCCTCAATGGATCTCCATAAAACGTCTAGCCAAGCCTGAATAAAGCGAGCTTCGTAGCAGCAGCTCCCCGAAGACTGCGTGACCGTCTGCCCCTCCCAGTTGGGAATACCGGGACGATGTCGCATCACCGGGCAAAGAGGAATTGGTGATTTGACAAGAAAGCGTCGTAACAGCGCTCGCCTTCTCTAGCTTCTACATATATTTGTCTGGGACAAGAATTAAGAAAAAACAAAACGCATTTGCTCAACTCTAATATTCAAACTGAAAGATTCCCCGTAAGACACTCCAAAGATTTCCCGAGCCGCCCGAGGCGAGGCGGTGCTTCCGCTTCCTCCAGGCGAGGGTGGCGGTTGTGAGGCGCGGCGCTGGTGGGACCTGCCCGCGCCCGGGGCCTGTCGCCGCGTGGGTGGGCAGCGTGCCGCTGACACGGTGCACCCCGGACCCCGGGACCCCCTGGGCCGCCCCCCGGGGCCCCTCCCGCCCGGCCCGCGGGCCGCGGCAGAGCCGCCTGCAGCTCCCCGGCGCCCAGCCCGCGCGGCGGGGCCACTTTAAGGCGGGGGGGGGGGGGGCGTGCGCGCCACAGCCTCGGCCTCGAGCCGTCGGGGCGGGGGCGGCCGAGCGGGCGGCGGGACGCGGCGGCGTGGCCGAGCTCCTCCTGCGGCGAGGCTGCCCGGGACCGGCACGTGGGCAGCGGGCCATGGCGGCCCCAATCACCTGCCCGGAGCGCGGCCAAATCTCCGGCCAGGTAAGAGGCGGAGGGGAGGAGGAGGGGAGGCAGCTGCGTCCACGAGGGCGCGCGGGCCGGGCCGGTGCCCCTCGGCCGCACAGGTCTCGCTCATTCCGGGGGCGCGAGGCGCTCGCTCGAGGAGGGCCGCCCCCGGGGGCGCGCCGCTGCCTGAGGCGGGGGCGGCGGGCGGGATGCCCCGGGCGGGCGCGCGGAGCCCGGCTCCGCAGACGTGCGTGTGAGGCGCTGGACGGTTGTCGACCTCCGCTCCTCAGGGCAACCAACCATTCAGAGGGTTACCGGGAGTGAGATTTAGCAGGTATCAGGACGGCATGTGGATGACGACAACTTCGGTTTTACTTTGAATATAGGAAAGTTTATTTAACATGCAAAAGTGTATTTTGGGCATTCTTGTCTCTGCACAGCTTGGCATGCTTTTTTCAGTTTGCTTACGGGCATGGGGGCCAAAAAGTCCTCGCGTGTCCTCCTCAGGCTTCCATGCACGCAGCAGGCGGTTGTGCCTGGAAACCGAAGCCGTCGGCGGGAAAAGGCATCTGCGCTCTTCACACGTCCTCCCACCCTCCCGGGATCTCAGAAAGCCCACTGGCCTCTTTTGAAAGCACCTGATTTATCTTCCCCTTAACAGAAGCACAAAATCATTTCCATGACGGTTTTAGATTTAAAACAAAAAAAAAAAAAAAAAGGAAAAAGGTGATGACGAGCCTTCCTGTGAGGAGGAAGAGCCTCACCCACCCCAGAAAGCAAGACAAGATGGTGCTGGGCTCTCTTACTTCAGGTATCTTGATAGCCGAGAGTCAAACCTTCTGGGCTGCCTGAAAGCTGCTTGCCCTTAGAATGTTCTTCTGCGTGCTTCAGTCTCCTCCCTCTTTAGTTAAGCACAAGCTTCCTGAAATTACCGCTGTGGAGTGGACCAGTTTAATACAGTTTTCTTGATCATTTCAAAATGGAGGCAGCCATTTAAACTCAAAGGAAAAATTGGTATGTGAGGGTAGAGGATTAGGCAAAGCTGCACAAAATGGAACTCTGAATAAAATCTGATTATCTAGTAGTACCTAAATAATCGAGGCTTCCTAACCTTGGGAAGTCTGAAGCCCCGACTGAACCTTTTGTTTGCATTTGAAGAGCAGCCTGTTCAGTTTCTCCTGATAGAGCTGTTTAAATCCCTTGACTCCTGGGGAATCTAGAGGCCAGCAATTGCCCCGCGAGAGCATCAGCCCATGCAGCTGCTGCTGATTGTCAGCACTGCTCCTGGTGATAAGAATGACATAAATAACAACTCACTAAAATGTAGGAGTGATTTGCTTTAAGCACTTCAGCACCTGCTGTTACTAATTAAGGGTTTAGCCCGCCGCGGATTGCAAATGGAAATCCAGTGTTTTAAACACTGTAGAGACTGGGGTGCCCTGTGTGGTACTGTGATTTAGAAATCAAACTGAGTGGATAAAGAACCACTGGTGACGACGATGTGGAAATAGAAAAACTGCCCACACCTCAAAGATCTACACCAAGGTTTTAGTAGTGTTCATCCTCAGGTGGTGGAATTACAAATGCTTTTTATTTTTTCTTTAGGCTTCTTTTGAATTTTCCAGTCTTTCCCAATGACTATGTATTGTTTTTGTTTAAAAAAAACATAAAAGGTGCAGTATGCAATTCAAATAGAAAAAAAAAAAACCCACCTAATGAAGTCATGCATCAGGTTGTGTGGCTCATAGGTGAAAATCTTGGACATCCTAAAAAGGCAGTTTCCCAAGGCAGAATATACTAGAAAGTTTTGTTCATTTTCCTTTTATTATTCCTGTCAGTAGATTCTTCTCATCACCTGTGTTCATGTTACACTGCCAACAAGATATTTTTAACTGAATATTCAGATTTAATTCGAATAATAAGCTATTCAGTTAATTTGTTACTTTGGGATAGTGGACTAGGGCAGTGTTGTAGTTTGTTGGTTAACATTCCACATGTGCTATGGCACCGATTTTTGTAGAGCAGAGAAGGAAGCCTTTGATGGTCGGTTCTTTGGAAGTCAGTTCTTTCCAGAGCTGCTTTATTTCATGCTCCCTGTGAAGTACCTCACACCACAGCACACAACTATAGACCCCTGTGCAAAACAGCCTGTTAGTGGTGTTGCACATCCTTATCCCTTTCTGGATCTTTGCTCTTAGATTTCTCCCGGGGTACCCATGTCCTGCTCTTTGGAGCTTCCTCTTGACATCTCTCCATGCTAGCTGAGAGATTCTGGGGGAAATTAGACCCTGAGCCTCTGAAGGGAATATTGCAGTCAGAAGCATCAGCGTTAGTAGGAAAGGGTTCAAATTAGCAGTTGATTTCTGTTATTCATGGCTTACCTTTTCTCCTCTGTGGGCCTTATTTCCCCTTCTCTAGGGCTCAGAGCTCTAGGGCAAAGAGTCATTTGACTTAGAGCTGTTTTCAGTGCTTGATGAGGACACATCTAACTCCACTTCCCTCTAACTCCACTTCCTCTGTTCTCCATCAGATTGAATGGATATTTTCTGTGCACAGGTCTGGTGGTATTTGAGAAAACATGGCAATAGCTACCAAACACAGGGCATTGTACTAGCATTGTAATGATCTTGGATTTAAGTATTATTGCCTTCCAGTTGAGGATCACAAGTGTTTTACTGAAAGCCACTAGTAGGTGGCTGGACTTGGTAACAGAACCTGGTCTATGTGCCTGGAAAGCCTTTGCCCTCTTTGCATTGCATCCAGCCCTTAAGAAAGGATCAGTAGTGGGATCCCTGGATGGCGCAGCGGTTTGGCGCCTGCCTTTGGCCCGGGGCGCGATCCTGGAGACCCGGGATCGAATCCCACATCGGGCTCCCGGTGCATGGAGCCTGCTTCTCCCTCTGCCTGTGTCTCTCTGCCTCTCTCTCTCTCTCTCTGTGACTATCATAAATAAATAAATAAATAAATAAAAAAGAAAGAAAGGATCAGTAGTAGCTCTGCTGGAATTGAGCCGTATACACGTTTCTTCCTGTGTTCCAAAGACTGAAAGGTATATTGAGCAGCAGAAAAAAGGATTACTAGAACGTCAGCCCCGTGAAGGCGGGGACATTGTTTGTTCACTTTGTATTCCCAACACAGCATCTGCCTTGCAGTAGGAGCTCAATAAATATCTGTGGAGAGAATAAATAGATTGCAGTCATATTTAAGCAGATGCAAAGTGGCAGGATATTTGAAAGGAAATCTTGGTAGTAGAAAGTTTTACAAGTTATTCATAGCCCAGGACCCCTTGGTTTATATATATTATTTTAGTGCAATTATTAATAACACCCCCTTTCATGTCTCAGTTGGAAGGTTTGGAAGGTAAAATGTCTCAGTTTGGAAGGTAAATGATCACTGTGTCTGTGGTAGATTAGTTTTAGACGGTCATAGGTTGCTTCAATTAACCAGGTTAATTAAAAAAAGAAACCTGTAATCACTCCTTTTATGACCACTTGTTAATGACCATTTCAGTTTTTGGCATTTGATTCACAGGGGAATATATAGATATAGAAGAAATCCTGTGCTGCAATGGAGATTCACAATCTGAACTCAAAAGTACCACAGTAACTTTGATTCCTACACTGCTCCTAAAGTGCTATTGGAAATGAGAGGTGTTTATAAAATGAAAAGGGAACACTCTAGAAAGATCCTGATACTCTATAGTGTAGACATTCCAAAGTGTTATGCTGTCTTCTTAGAACATAGGGCATTTGAAGGAAATGGAAGGAAATAAGGCTGGTGACATGGGTTGATATTAAGCTATTGAAAGGCCATGCTAAGGAGTTTGAATTCTTACCTGTTTGAAACAGGGTTAGGGTTAGTGAGATTGGCACAAATCAGTCCTCTGGGGAGGATTGGTCTGGGTCCAATCCAGACCCCAGAGTAGGACATACTTAAACATGTGCTGATGCCTTCAACAAGGAAATATGGGAGGGGGGGGAAGTGTGGGGCTGGGGGAGGGACATTCCAAATTAGAAGTCCAAGGGTGACCTAACCAAATGCAATATATAGTTCTTCCTGGGATCTTGGTTTGAACAAAGTAGTAGCTGTTTTCTGGGAAAAAAAAAAAAAGTTCACAGGAAAACTTGGAATTTAGAAAGCAGATGGGATCAAATTGCCGCTAAAAGAAAAGAACAAGACCTGTGGCTTTAAAAAGTTCTAAAGAAGAGATGCAGAGGGAAAACAATTCTAGTGGTAGCCCAGACTGAATGTTAGAAGAAACTGATTGAAGTTGACCAGACGGTGCTCACCTGGTGAAGAATTAGCTGTATGCAAAGCACCTGGACCAGGTGGGTCCCCGGATTGCTTACCCCTTGGACTCTCCCAGTGCACACCTACTTCATCCTGAAGAGAATGAACTGTGTGTGGGATCCGGGTTCCTGGTGTTGGTAATTTCCAGACCGTTATCACTGACCAGGAGGAGTAAAGGAACGGCAGCTCTGCCCAGGAGGGAAATAAAATAAAGTGCTTGGCTTTCAGAGTAGTGCCTTCCATTATTATTTTGACAACTAGCTCCAGCCTCTCTGGTCTCTGGGTTTACTGCCACTGTCCTGACCACTCACACCAAACCCACAGTCGTGTCTTTGAAGGAAGCAGCCACTGGAGACACTACTTGTACATGTCAGCTTAGTCCTTGATTTGTGTTTATGTTGAATAACCTAAATGTTTGATCTCCAGACATTAACAGAACTAGATGCAAATGCAGATACTAGACACAATTATTCCATAGACAGGGTATTAAGGGGACAGAAAAAACTTTTAAAATTCTAATTTGTATTCTCAGTGAGGATATCACATCCTAAAAATAGCCAGTTATGAGGAATTACCAAAAAAGGAAAATCTTAGAAGTAAGTGACCAATTCACATTAAGTGAAGTCATAAAAATCTTTGGACAAGTGAGCTGATGATGTTATGAAAGGGACTCTCTTTGAGAGAAATGGAGACATGAAGAATCAATGGTGGATGTTCTGCATTTAGAGGAAAATTGCCAGGGAGGG